TGCAGAGGAGGGGACTCGTAGCTCAGGGGCCCAGCAAAGAGATGACATTTTCATTTGGTGGAAGGGTGCCTAGTATAATCAGATATTAAACTATGTAGTCTTCGATTTCCCTCTCTGGTCCTGAGAAGAAACTTTAAGCCCCCTTTGTTTTTTATTCTTCTCCCTTTTGTTGAGACTGAGCCTCCCTGGAAAGCACAGACTAGCTTCCTGCCAGCCTGGGATTCCAGGTGTGTGCTGCCAGACCTGGCATAGATTTCTTCTCAAACAGGAAAGCACCTGGCTGCAAAGAAAACAGAGTCCCCCAGTGTCCGACGTGTTAGAGGGTGATGCCCTGCTGCCGGGCCAGGGGCCCCGTGCAGGTGACTGTGGCACCAATGACAAGGACACTTTGTTGCCTGATCAGGATGCTGTCCTCATTTCTCCCACAGAGATGGGCTGGCCACCTCTGGCAGGAGCAGAGAGCAAAGTCTGAGGTGATAAGAAGTTGTGAGTACCATTTACTGAAATCACTGCATCTCTGCACACAGATTCGGTGCCTCATTTGGTTCCGGCCCAGAAAAAGGCGGTAGCATTCCAGTTTTGCTGATAAGAGCCTCATTTAGACTTTTGTCTAAATGTGTTGGGCTGGAAATTCTAAGGATGGAAATGAAAATCCTTAATTTTGGGGAAAAAATGACAATTACACTGGTGTGCTGGAGAGTGGGATGTGTTTGTTAAGTTCTTCCAAGCTCCTGAGCAGATCTGACATCATGAGAGATTATCCGGGGGACAGACAAGGGCTCCACGGTGGAGCCAGGGAGCCACACCCGAGAGGCTGTTGCTGTGAAGTCTGGCTTTTGTTTTGGGTGAGTCTTCTGGGCCCTCATTCCATAACTGAAAATACCTAATTACAGGGCAGGAGTGAGAGCATAGTCAGTGAAATGCTGGCTTTGCGAGCACGGTCTCAAACGAGAACTTCGCAGGTGTGGTGGCGCAGACTTGTGGTCCTAGTACCGGGGAGAGAAGATTGGTGGATCCCTGGGCACTGGGCCAGCTAGCCTGGCCTACTCGGTGAGATCCAGGCAAACGAGAGACCCCGTTTTGAAAATCAATGGGATGCTACCGGAGGAATGGCAGCCGAGGTTATCCCTCGCTCTCCACATTCACATCCGTGTGCACACACCCTCTCCCCAGACACACAACACGCACCTGCACACGGGCGCTGGCACCTGGGCAGGGACGTGGTGGAAGCCACTCAGTATCCGAGGACACTGAAGTCAGCTCCACAGTGGTGGCCCAACAGGAAGCAAAGTTCACAGTCAGGACCAAGGCTGCTGAGACGATGCCCCTGAGTTATTACATCCCTAGCACGGGTACCTTTTCTCACAACTTTTGACCTTTTACTAACCCATGTTCTCCGTGCTGGTTTTCTCCACGTCAGTAGGAAAGTCCCTGGTCATAGGCTGCCTTTGTTCACGTGCTCTTGCCCACAGGGGTGTCTGGGTCACCCTTTCTCCAGAGCACAGGCGCTTTGACTCTGGTGCTGCTGGGGTGGACGGCAGTCCGGCATCACTGGGTGAATCGCACTGGGCATTCGAGGTGGGAGTAAGGCCTTGCCAGTGAGACCACTGCTTCTGCAGGCTATGACTTTCCCACTTAGAATTCCCTGCTTCGAGTATGTGGTAACTTTAATTTCAGTTTGTCAACTTATTAAATAGTAGTTGGGACACATAGACAGCCACAGAGACACAGACAGACACACATTTGGACAGATACAGACATACACAGACTCACTGGAATGGAGGCCTGAAGATCAATCACTTGGCTCCATACCAGAAAAGGAAGAGGAAAGAAGCAAAGAGATGGACAGATGGGAAGAAGGGAGAAAAGAGGAGGGAGGGAGAGACTTGGGGGGAGGAAGGAGGGACAGAAGGACTCTCTGGTATGTCTGCTGCTTCATGCCAAAAGCAAGAACCACACCCAGGCACAGATTTCTCTGCTTTCTGCGAGCATCTTGAATGGCCCGGGTAAGGCCTTTCCTGGGGGGAAGAAGGAGGGGGGACAACGACCGGTGGGGAGAGGGACACACAACTGGGCCAACCTTGAGAAGGACTCAACAGTGACCTGGTTGGCAGCTGGGATAACACGGTCTCCGTCCCCACAGAAGGGCTTCCATTCCTAGGCCACCAACCCCTGCCGTTTTTCTCTACAACAATGCAAACAGGAAAATAGGCTCCGAAGACGAGGGTGGGGGACGCGACTTGGACAAGACATCCACAGCCCACGTACTCCAATTGTGCCCCTGTACTGAGTGAAGTGGTCTTTCAGATGATCTTGATATGTAAAATGATCTTGATAGAAGATGTTTACATGCATTTATGAAACACGGTGTGAGGGTCAGTCCATGTAAGCACACACGACATCACATCCGGCTGATTAGCATATCCACCATCTAAAATACCGTTTTTTCTCTGTCTTGAGGTGCTGCAATCCTCTCTCCCAGCTCTTTGAGACACATAGTGTTGCTGTCAGCACACCTGCCAGCCTCTGCGTCACCTGAGTTCTGTCACACAAGCCCTGACCCCTCCCCAGCTGTACAGGGAACAGACATCGTCTGGTGTACGTCTATGTTAGAGACAATAGCTGGGGCCAGGCAGCTGAGTTCTGAGTTCAAATCTGGCCTTTGCCACTCATTGGCTATGAGACTGTAAACAAGTCCCCTTTGCTCTTGGAACCTGTGAAATGAGGTGTGATCTCGCATAACAAAGCTGTGAGAATACGCCACAGTAAATGGCCGCATGAAGAAGTCTCTAAAAGTCCTGCATGACCTATAGTTACTGCTCTACACCTTCCGGCTGCAGAATTTCCGGGGATCCAAGCCCCAGCTTCACTGGTGGTAAATGGATTTTTCATTTTCTTGGTTTGGTCAGCAAAGTAGAGAGACCCTGTTGGACCCCAGAAGGTCTTTGTGGAGCTGATATTGTGCATGCTCCCCTCCCCCATGGATTCTGCTTACGGGGAGCGATTTTAGGAGCAAGCAAAACAAGCGAAGCTATTGGGGATGAACAATGGGCCAGATGGCAATGCTGGCTGGCAGCAATAGAACATGATAAATAGCTTCCCACTGTGACTTGTGATCAATTTCAATATTTAATAATTCCATTGCACCCCCACCCACTCATCTGGCCCCCTCCACAGGATCCTGCCATGACACCCGGCGTTCAGCTCGTGGACCAAGCAGTTCTTCTCTTTCTGAGGATGTCAGCAGAATGTGACACAGTGCAACTGTCAAATGGGCTCCCTTAGATGATAATTATCCTGCCTGCATGTCCTGCAGGTGCGCCCTCCTCCTTTCCTGCCGGGGAGGCTGGAAGGCCCTGCCAGCTGAAGATGTATGCTCACCTTGTTGGCTCAATGGCTGCTAGCATTGCCCGACTTTCACTTTGGAACTAAGCGGAGCAGCAAGCAGCCATCTTACCAGCACCCCGACAGTGGGTAGGAGGAAGTGACCCAGACAGGAAGCCTTGAGCCATTTTCCTTCTGAGACTCAATTTCCTCCTCTGAACAACGGACACGGTCAGGCCTATCCCTGGAATGGCAGCCGGTGCCACCCATGAAAAGCTTGTGGCCGTGCTCGGTATACAGGCAACAGCCAACAAGTGGTATTGTTATCAAATATGAAGCTAACCTCAAATGATTTCTGAGTGCCAGCGCTTTGCGGGGTGGGTTAGCTGTGTCCTTGTGGTTGACATTTCTAGCCCACATTGGTGAAGGGTTTGTCACCAGTGGTCACATAGCCTCTCCTGATAGTCTCCCCCAGCAGTAAGACAGGAAAGAATCCACTAATAAGGTTAACCACCCTGAACGGTTGGCAGTGACCCCAAAGGCATTAGTAGCCACTGATGTATGCGCCTTCAGGGCCATTTAGAAAACATACACACATACACGGATGAGAAGCTCCAGGGTAGGGGCGACATGATTTCTGGCTGATGTCGGCAAGAGACCATAGCCACTTCTCATCTAGATCTTTCAGTTCTGACTTCAAGTCTTCTCTGCCCACTCACAGGAGGAGCAAGACGCCCTGGCAGGTGTGTTCTCTGCGTGTGTGTGAGGGCAGGAGGATGGTGCCTGTGTGTCCCTGGGTCACCAGAGTCACAGGTGACGGTGAAATGAGGCTCCTAAACCCCTCAGTGCCGGGTCACAGGGACATAATGAGAGGATCTTGATGGTTTTGTGATGAGCTGATCAAATGTCCTTTATGGTTATTGAAGAGTGGAGATGGGAAACTCGTCCACTCAAAGGTAGAGTCTCCTAGCAGAAGGAACAACAAGGAAACAAGGAAAGAACAAAGCAGCGGCTACCGTAGTTAAGGCCTTTGTGTGGCATCTAAAGTTTGCCATAAGCCCATCTCCTTGCCTGCTTCGCTTTCCTCCATTGGAGCTAGTTGGGGTAGCCTGGGCTCAATGGCTTTTTCCACGTGTTCCTGTGTAGGCAGGCCCGCATTCCTGCTCAGGTCCATCCTCACCCTAGCCACTCATTTAGTGGGCTCTTCCTCAAGAGGTCTTCTGTGTCCTCCTGGACACCCCCATTCTCGTTCACCCCCACCCTCACTATGTTAGCGTCATTTCTCATGTGTCTCAAGTCCACAGCATTCTTTCCAGGCAAGAGCCAAGCTCTTTAGTCTACTGAAGGCCTAACCACTGTGTTCTCAACAAGTGTCTGCAGGGCCACAAACAAATAAATGAACAGCAGTCTACCTCCAGAAGTGATCAAATCAGAGCCTTAGAGGGGGATGGGGTAGGGTGTTGGTGGGGTGTAGTGGGGCAGTGAAACTTCTGGTGGGACTGGAATCTGGGAGGGGTTACACAGCCTTGGTAGCAGACAGTGCCTCAGGCTTTAAATTCTACTCAATGCTCCTTCCCTTTCCCTTCCACAATATAAAGGCCCAAAGCTGTGCAGACCCCCCACCCCACACCTGTCGTGCAAGGGCACCATGGGATGTGAAGGCAGCCATTGAGTACCTGAGTCCCGCTGGTCGAGGGCCATGGAGTTCCACCTCCTTGTGATGTCAATGTAGAGGATGTCCACTGCAGCCATGGATAGGCTGCTGCTACTCAGCTTGCAGTTCCTGCCATGATAGGGAAGAAGACGTGTTATTCTACGGTACAAACTTCTGGCCCCTTTTCATTCAAGCCTATGAGACTGAACGTTTGTGCCCCCTTGAAACACATGGGGGGGGGTGGATCTTTGGCGCTTTAGAGGTCATGTGGGTGGGGCCCTAGCAGACCTATTGGTGTCCTTGTATGAGGACACTAAGGGGAGGAGAGCTGGCCGGTTTCCCTGCTCCTCAGCACAGAGAAAGCAGCTGCAAAAGCCGGGGTAAGCTTTCAGCAGTCCCCTCTCTGTCAGGGCTGTGGCCCTGGCCTCCAGCTTCCAGACTGTGAGAAGTCAGCTTTTGTTGTTCAAGCCACAGGAGCTGCTCAAATGGAGACCATGTCTTTGCTCAGGCCATGTTTTTCTCCCCAGAATTCTTGGCCATCAGCAGAGGAACAGTGGTGAGAAGGCTGTGAGTGGGAACTGGGGGTTGGAGACTATGGCTTTAGTGAGCACTAATGAGTGGAGCTGCTGAGAGCAAGGCTGTGGAGACAACCATCATTGAGCCAAATCCTGCCTCTGCCACTGAGAACCCAGGCAAGCCACTCGCTTTTCCAGCCTTTCTGCTCTAGTGTTTTTGTTGTGTCTGCTGCACCTCATACAGTCCCAAAGACCCTGCCCGCTCTCAAAGGGAGGCAAGGGTCTCTCTTTCTCTTTCTTAGTATCATTATTACTACTATTATTATTGCAATAGGGTCTCATAGCCCAGGCTGGCCTCAAACTCTCTATATGGCTGAGGATGATCCTCCTGCCTCCACCCCCAAGTGCTGGGATTACAGGTGTGCACTACCACATCTGGTTTCTAAAGTGGTCCTGGGGATGGAACCCAGAGCCTCATCCATGGTAGGCAAGTATTTTACCAGCTGAGCCACACCACAACCCAAGGAACTCCATCGTCAGGAAATACTTTTTGTGTGTGTTCATCTTCTTACTGTTTCAGAATATGAGTACTCGCCCTCTCCTGTCACTACAGGCAGCTTACTGTGTCACGGTCACATGGACTGGCAACGACAGCTCACCACTGAAGTGACTGAAGTCATCACTGTGGTCTGGGAGCTGTTCCTCCTGGATCTTACCAGAGGAGTCCCTGAGGCCGAACATGTAGACAAGAAGCCTGATGTGTCTCTACTTCACCTCTCTTACTTTGTCACCCTGATGGCTTTATACAAGCCCCGAATCCTCACACACAGGCCCAGACAAGCACAGTGGAAAGCGGAGGCAGAGCCATGTTCTTTTTTGGCACAGGTTGGCCCCAAGTCACTGGAGAGCCTTCTGCACCATGCTGCGTGTTCGTTACTGGTCATCTGGAGCCAGGAGAGGGTGGATGTTCTGATTGATGCTCCTTCTGCTTGTGTGCAGGGACACCAAAGAGCGGGACACATATCTGATGTCAGCAGCAGTGCTCTGCCTCAGCCACAGAGGGGGCGTTTGGAGCCCCATCCCCTCCACTCTTTTATTTGGTCTGGAGAAGTAGGTAAACAGCATTTAGATGCTTGATTGTGGGTAGTTTTCTTAATTCTCTCCACACACCTTTGTTTCTCGATCTCTGAGATGAAGGTCCCACCTGCCCACATGGCTGCCCAGGAAGGCAGTGAGCGTCTGTGGGCACCTGTGTGCTGCCGGGTGCCCGGGAGGCTCATGGCATGCCTTAGTCCTCATTTCTTCTTGCTCTCCAGTTTTCTCTCTCGGGCTATAGATCCAAACTTGCACTGTCCTTTTGAGGTAATGAAACCTAGGACAAGAGAGCCTAGGCCAGCCGTTGGCTTATCCACCTCTCCCACCGCCCTCTGAACACGATTGCTCTGGGAGGTGGAATTTCCTAAGAATCCTGAAGGCTGGACTCTAGGCTCTGTCAGAGCTACACCGACACTTTCGGCAGTTCCAATGCATCTCATCCATACCCCAGTGGATGACAAAGTGCTTCTCTGACGGCCATTTGTCATTGTTCCTTGTGTGAACAGTTCCCGTAGGTGCCAGACAGGTGAGGTTTTGATTGACAAGTATGATTGCCACCTAGAGGCCCCTATCCAGATTCAGGTCCGCTCCTTAACCATGGTGGTTGTGAGTATGCCCAGCACGGTGCCTGGATGAGGTCCCTGCACCTTCTGTCCTGGCACACTTGCTTGCCCCTCCCTCCCCTCCTCTCTTCCCACCCATCTGCATTTTCCAGACCAACAATTCACATCCCATTCCATATTTCAATCACAAGGCGCCGTGGCAGACTTCAAAGCATGTCAGCGCCTAGTGACTGAGTCAGTGGGCACTGAGCTTTTCATGTTGCCAGTCACGAAGATGCTATCTCTGGTGGATTCTGCTAGGGACAATAGTCTCTCAAGTCATGCTGTTGGTGGATGCTGCTGATTCCCAAGGCTTCGTTAGGAAAAGCCATAGCCCTTTCCGCATCAGTGTTCTAGGACTACCTGTTCCCTGGGAGGGTGGAGAGCTGCCTGGCTTGCTCCGTGGGTTAATGAAGGATAAAACCGGAAACTGAACTGACCACTGGTATATAGTTATTTTTTTTTCCTGACAGGAAGAAAATAGAAGTGTCAAACCATAGTAGAAGCTGTAATTTACCAGGGAGAATTCTCCCTTTATCCCCTTTCCAAGGTAACTCATCCTCCCCAGCAATACTGCCAAATACAGTTGATTACGGTGTCTGCAGTTAGAGAGGAGGACCATCCGTGTCGGCTGCAGGGGGCAGGAAATGCTTAAAGAGGTTTGGATTCTGTAGGTCTTTCTTGGGCACCATATCCTTCCCAAGGTCTCAGAGCCCTTGTAAGCACCTATGAGGGAGGGGTCCCAGTCACATTTCAGTGGGGGAAAGATGAGGCACAGAAGGGGGTCAGGACATGCTGAAGGTCACACGGCTCAATACTGTACCCCAACTCCCCTTGGAGACAAAGGGAGGTGGTCCAGCTGGCGGTCCCAGAAGGAGCCTAGGATCAAGATACAAACTCTCAGTCTAGTGGCCTAAGGGCTGGACACCTGCTGGGAAGTTTTGGGACAGGGGTTTCTGGGAGATAACTAGGAGCTCATGAAGGCAGGGGCTTCTGGGTTCGTCCTTTGGCTACCAGACATTCTCGGGGCTCAAATAGAGTCTATTTAGCTCTATTTAGCTCAAATAGAAGCTAACATCAAATATTTGGAATAACGCTTTTGATTCATATAGCCACTGAATACAGAGCTCATCTCCTGTCATGGTGGGTACCCATATTCAGGGCCCAGTGACGGGTGGCACAGCTCTCAGAGCTGTTCAGGAGATGGCGTGTGATGGCCAGGTCGTTCCAGTCATGGAACACAACCTCCCCTCATGCCCTGGGACCAGCTCCCTCAATGAACAGGTAGAAAGGGAAGATCTTAGGTGGAAGAACATTCTGAGAAACAGGGTATGGGAGAGGCTAGACATTTTCTAGAAAAGAAGTGGACCTTGGGTTTTGCTGCGTGATTCTGAGCATGCCATAAAAGTTCTTTTTGTTTGTCTGAGGTGACCGAGGCTACCCACCAGACAAGGCCCTGGCACTGGCGCTCCGTGCTGGGCACATGTGGAGAAGAAGCCGACAACAATCAAAGCCTTGCCTAGTGATGAAGAATCGGCTGAAAGTGATAACTTTTGTGTTTCTTGTTGTTTCTCTTTTTTTTTCGGAATGGAAATAATCTGAGTACATATGACGGGAGAGATCACAAATCACTGAAGTTCATTAGGAGCCTGAGCGTGGGGGAAGCTTTGAAACCATCATCCATTTCCTCTAACTGCCTACGTCTCTTGGGAAATTTAGGGACCAACTTTTTACACTCCACAAAATCCTATTTATAGAATTTCTTTTATGTTCATCCTTCTTTGTGGTGAAAAAAGAGCAGCTTTTCTTCCCTCCAGAGGTTTCTGTAAGGTAAAAGGCAAATATTCATATTTATTTTAGAAAAGGGGGGGACAAATCACTAAATATTTGTGAGGGGAGGAAAGAGGTGGCTGTGGTTTAGAACATCCACGGTTTTCAAGGCTGTGGAGAAGAATCGCACACGATTTCTGAGAAGGAATAGTCACAGAAGGGACCATTTCAAAGTCACTAAGGAGTTAATGTTAAAGGGGACAGTGGGATCCTTCTACTTCTATTCTAGAACATTTTAACATGTTATGCCTCTCAAAGGGAAAAACCCTACAGTTATCTATTATGAAGCATATTAATATCTCCAGACAATAAAAGGGAAGTAAAAGGGAAAAGGAGAAAGAGGGAAAATAAGTCCTTTAATTCAAACAGAGACCTGGGATCAGAAAAAGCGAGTGTCCTGGGAAGGAGCCTGGCTGGGGCCAACTGTTGACTGTGTAGCTGCATTCAGTGGACAATGAGGACACTGGGAAAGTGTCCTCCATGAGTTCCATGATGTCTCCCACCCCCACTAGTGACCCGTTGACAGGAGCTAATACAGACCCATCTCTCTCAAGGAAGCCTCCACATCCTGGCAATTGTTAGAAAATAAAATTTCCAAAAAATAAAAAACTAAAAAGCAGAGCTCAGTTCCCAGTGATGATACGTGCTGCCCGACGACACTGGGCTGCTGAGGAACTGACTGGAGGCTGGTTAGAGTGTCTAGACGGGAGAATGACAGTTCCTTATTTCTCATTCGCGGAGCAAGAGAAGAGTGGAAGATGGCTGGGCGGGCATTAGCATAATTCGCTCTGAAAACTGCTGATCTGTGCTGCGAGTTCTGAGAGATGGACACCGAAAATAAATCCAAGCGGACCGTGGATTATTTTCTTCTCTTCTAGGTCTTTCTGGAGAGAAACAGAGTGGGTAGTAGATGTGAAAGCCAAGTTTCACTTGGGGCATCTGTGTGGGAACCTTGCAAGGAGTGTGCACCGTGCTGGGAATATGTGTTTCGGCACGCTCCTGCGAAGGGCACTTGGTTCAATCCAGCATATGGTATAAATATTATTAATTCATAACGAAGCAACATTTAAGCCAAAGTGGAAAGGAG